TTTTGGGGCCAGGTTAGAGGTATCGGGTAATGAAGGATGAGAGTGAAATGGAGGTTTGGGGCAGTGAGGGCTGAAGGGCTTTAGGAGGTTTGGGGTGAAGGTGTGATTACAAACTTTCACTAATACAAAGGTATCCAGTCTTATACAGTACAGTATAAGTAAATGAGGATGATCAACTTTAATAATTGTCCAGCTTTCAACTTTAACATTATTACAATATAAAATGATTTGTACTATATTTGAATAAGGTAATTGTTGCGTATGGAGGGGTAACTTTAGGCCACTGATCCTTTCTGGGGAATCAGTTTGACTATTGACTTTGTCTAGGGGTAAAACTTCATACACAACAAGGATATTGAGTAGCTCAGCTTACTCAATGAAAATTTCATTTGTTAACCTGCTTGATTACTTGTGAGGATGACCAAAATTCCAGAGTATATTTCTTTGTCTTTAATAATAATATTAAACTTAGAATAGATCTTCATAAATTTATGAAGTTTGATCTTAATAAAGACCATTACCAGGAAAGCATAGATCCCAGTGGTAAAGTTTGACAATCATTAAGGTGTATTAAATAATCAGTACCTTACTCATAATAATCAAGAGAGACTTCTTGAATTATTCCACATCATAACCCAAACAGTTATCTGCTAAGAGATATTCTCTATTGTCCCATGCAAGAGACTAATATTCTAGAGTGCCAGGAGGAATTGTGTTAATGGCTGAGGGAATGAACCTACTCAGCAGAGAGTGTATGAACCTACTGCCTGACAGAGTGACCGTATACCTCCACGTGAGGTCGGTCAGGAGAAGTAAGCCGGCAGCTAAACGAGATTCCGGTCATTTACCTGGTGCATCAAGACAATTGCACCATTATTGACAAACCCAGATTCCAATAATAACCTAACATATTATAATATTAAAAAGAGAAGGCACTAAACCGATAAACATATATATAATAAAATTAAAGAGCAGTATCCTAGTATCATGATACATTTTTTTTTTGTTAACTAGTCGGCCGTCTCCCACCGAGGCAGGTTGACCCAAAAAGAAAGAAAATCCCCAAAAAGAAAATACTTTCATAATCATTCAACACTTTCACCTCACTCATACATAATGACTGTTTTTGCAGAGGTGACCAGATACAACCGGTTTCCCCGAATCAGCTTACTAAAATTACCCTGCTCAACGCAATCCCAATCAGTCGCAGGTCCCAAATATCCATTCGTCCCGCTATTCACCTTCCCTGATCTACTTACGCCTCACGCTCGTTGCGGAAGTCCAAAATGCCCTCGCCCACAAAACCTCCTTTACCTCCTCCCTCCAACCTTTTCGAGGACAACCCCTACCCCGCCTTCCTTCCTCTACAGATTTATACACTCTCCATGTCATTTTACTTTGATCCATTCTCTCTAAATGACCAAACCACCTCAACAACCCCTCTTCAGCCCTTTTACTAATACATTTATTAACTCCACACCTTCTCCTAATTTCCACACTTCGAACTTTCTGCATAATATTTACACCACACATTGCCCCTAGACAGGATATCTCCACTGCCTCCAACCGCCTCCTCGCTGCAGCATTTACAGCCCAAGCTTCACACCCATATAAGAGTGTTGGTACCACTATACATTTCCTTCTTTGCCTCCATAGATAAAGTTTTTTGTCTCCACATACACCTCAATGCACCACTCACCTTTTTTCCTTCATCAATTCTATGGTTAATCTCATCCTTCATAAACCCATCTGCTGACACATCAACTCCCAAATATCTAAACACATTCACTTCTTCCATACTCCCTCTCTCCAATGTGATATTCCATTTGATACCCTCATCACCTTATTCTTATCTATGTTCACTATCAACTTTATACCTTTGCACACACTTCCAAACTCGTCCACTAACCTTTGTAGCTTTTCTTTAGAATCTCCCATAAGCACCGTATCATCTGCAAAAAGTAACTGTGTCAACTCCCATTTTGTATTTTGATTCCCAGTCATTTAATCCCACCCCTTTCCCCAACACCCTAGCATTTACTTCTTTTACAACCCCATCTATAAATATATTAAACAACAATGGTGGCATTACACATCCCTGTCTAAGACCTACTTTTACTGGGAAGTAGTCTCCCTCTCTTCTACACACCCTGACTTGAGTCTCACTATCTTCATAAAAACTCTTCACAGCATTTAGTAACTCACTACCTATTCTACATACTTGCAACATCTGCAACATTGCTCCCCTATCCCCTCTATCATATGCCTTTTCTAAATCCATAAATGCAATGAAAACTTCCCTACCTTTATCTAAATACTGCTCACATATATGCTTCAATGTAAACACTTGATCTACATATTCCCTACCCACTATAAAGCCTCCTTGCTTATCTGCAATCCTACATTCTGTCTTACCTCTAATTCTTTCAGTAATAACCCTACCATACACTTTTCCTGGTATACTCGGTAAACTTATTCCCCTATAATTTTTACAATCTCTTTTGTCCCCCTTCCCTTTATATAAAGGAGATATACAAGCTCTCTGCCAATCCCTAGGTACCTTCCCTTTTTTCATACATTTATTAAACAAAAATACCAACCACTCCAACACTATATCTCCCCCCCCCCCCCCGCTTTTCACATTTCTGTCATGATCCCGTCAGTTCCAGCTGCTTTATCCCCTTTCATTCTACGTAATGCCTCACGCACCTCCCCCACACTCACATCCTGCTCTTCTTCACTCCTAAAAGATGTTATATCTCCCTGGCCATTGCATGAACTTACTGCCTCCCTTTCTTCATCAACATTTAAATGTTCCTCAAAATATTTCTCAAAATATACCCAATACCTCCAGCTCCCCATCGACTAATGCCCCTACTCTGTTTTTAATTGACAAATCCATTCGTTCCCTAGGCTTTCTTAACTTGTTTAACTCCAAAAATTTGTCTTATTTTCATTAAATTTTCTTGACAGTGCCTCTCCCACTATCATCTGCTCTCCTTTTGCATTCTCTCACCACTCTCTTCACCTTTCTTTTACTCTCCATATACTCTTCTCTTCTTGTAACACTTTTGCTTTGTAAAAACCTCTCATAAGCTACCTTTTTCTCTTTTATCACACCTTTTACTTCATCATTTCACCAATCACTCCTATTTACTCCTGTACCCACCCTCCTATAGCCACAAACTTCTTCCCCACATTCTAATGCTGCATTTTTAAAACTATTCCAACCCTCTTCAACCCCCCCCCCCTCCCTCTACTCATACTTGCACCAGCCCACCTTTCTGCCAATAGCTGCTTATATCTCACCCTAACTTCCTCCTCCCTTAGTTTATACACTTTCACCTCTCTCTTATTGTTGTTGCCACTTTCCTTGTCCCATCTACCTCTTACTCTAACTGTAGTTACAACTACATAATGATCCGATATATCAGTTGCCCCTCTTAAACGTGCATCCTGAAGGCTACCCATCAACCTTTTATCCACCAGTACATAATCTTACAAACTACTTTCATTACATGCTATATCATACCTTGTATACTTATCCTCTTTTTCATAAAATATATATTACTTATTACCAAACCTCTTTCTACACATAGCTCAATTAAAGGCTCCCCATTTTCATTTACCCCTGACACCCCAAATTTACCTACTACTCACTCCACAACATTTTTACCCACTTTAGCATTGAAATCCCCAACTACAAGTATTCTCACACTTGGTTCAAAACTCCCCACACACTGTAGCTACTTAGTGAAGAAGTCCGCTAAGTGAAACCTTGTAACTGGAATATACTCAAATAAAAAATGTCGGGCATAACCCGTAACAGTAATCCATATAACAAAGAGTGTAGAAAATAATCAGATAGCAGGTATCCAGAAGTTACCCTCCAAGATTATTTTCTTGACTCCTAAGTGGTTTGCATAAACCTATCCTCTTCCATCTAATACACCTCATTTACTGGCTAACCGCTAACTTTAACACACAAGTGGATATCTTTTCCTTATGCCTCAATGCAAAGCCCTTTTTATGGCCTAGGCATGCACAATGAAACTTGGTATACTTCATCTGGCTTCCTCAGGTCTACTACACACACACTTGGAGCATCATTAATATTCATCCTATGTGGGTCACACCTTTCATTTTCCTAGATATGTAGAAAAGTTGTGTTCATAAACAGTCAGTTAGGTCATATATATTATGGTGTTGGGCAGCTCATAGCTTCTCTTTCTATCTGGACACTTTATGCCCTTAAGACTGACTTTTATAAGTAACTTGTAAGTAATAGTCAGTATCACAAAGGAGGCTAGGATGTTATGGGTTTAATGGTGTTATTGGGGATGGAGTAGGGAGTTAGTGAGTAGTGGGGATTGGAGGGGGACCTGGGGTGTTTGGAATGTGGTTTTGAGGTGTGGTGAGGTAAGGGGGAGGTGTGGTAGGGGCTGTGTTAACAGCTGTGGTATAGATTTGTGATGGAGTTTGAGCTTGTTGAGTGGTATGATGGGGGATGTTATATAGTGGTTTTGGGAAGAGAAGCAATGAATCTATGTTTCAGAATTGAAGGTGGACCTTAGTGAGATGATTAGAGAGGATGCACAGTAATGTTGAGGGGATTGATGTGAGTGTATATCTGCAACTAACTGGGATGTATCATAAGAGGTGAAGTGAATATGTATTTGAGGGGGGTTGTCTTCCTACAGGATTGGTTTGCATTTGTGGTTGTTTGAAATATTGCTGCTTTTGACTCATTTGACTAAAAATATTTTATAAAGAATATACCAGTAACTGTGGCATTATATTTTTCAAGTAATAAATGTACTACAAAGTCTTGTTAACTTTATATACCTTGAAAAATGATATTTTTCATTACAGTAACTTATAACATCTAACCTATGAAGTAATTCTCTGTGATTAATATTGGTTTTATTAATTTTGCATTTTTAGAAACTTGTTGATGTTCAATAAAGACTACACTCATTAATTAAAATTTTTATTTTCAGGGTGAAAAGTCGATCATTATCTGAATGTAGCAGTGATCATAGATCAATAGAACTTTCTGGGAATACTGAAGTACACTTTTCCCAAGCTGGAAAGCAAGAACATGCTGTGGTGCTTGAAAGGTTTATAGGGGAGCGTAAAATTCAAGGTTGCCATGTACTAGAAGCACGAGATAAAGTGTCTATGGATAGGAGTATCGTCTACCAGTGGAATATTAGACCAAAACGAACTGGAAGAAAAGGAAATCACATGAAAGTTGGACAAGAAAATCAGATTGAAGAATTGCTTGGAAAATTTTCTGCCTTGGAGAAAGAAATGAGTTCGTTATTACGTCTCTCTCATAGGAATTTAGTCCATTACTTGGGAATGCGAGTCATTAATCGTCTGAATGAAGGTATTTCTGTGTATGTTTTACAAAAGTATGTGCAGGGCCTGCCTGTCAAGTACTACTTGGATCTCAACATACCCATACATCTACCTCTCATCAAGCACATCACAGAAGGAACACTTGAGGCCCTAAATTATTTGCATCAAAACAATGTTGTACATAGAGACCTCAGGGACTCCTGTATATTTTTGGATGCTCACTCTCATCAGGTTAAGGTAGCAGATTATGGAGTGGAGAGAAGGATAGTTGAAGTTGTGGTAGAATTCATTGATGTGGAATTTCCACCAGTCTATCCGCTATCCCCGGGACGAGGCGGCAAGAAGAATGATGTGTATCGCCTTGGTCTTATTGTCCTCTCACTTTTCCTTGGCCAACGAGTTCAGCAGGTATGATGGATTTCTTTTATTATGTGATTAATACTTTAATAGCTTTTAATTTTGTATAACCCTTTTCTCTCTTAAGCAGGAAGCATTGATCTGTGTTTGCACATAACTTCACTATGAAACACCTTTTGTGTATGAACTATTATAATCTGATTTATTTATTTATTTGCTTTTTCACTGTGATTTTGTTCTTTTCTGTTATATTAATGGAAATGCTTTGATATATTGATCTTTTCCTATGCACCCATTTGAGATCTCACTTCTTAGATTGTGTCTTTCACTCAGACTTTTTTCAACTCTTACCACATCAGTGTTGTGTAGTCTTTCATTTGAGCTGGAACCTCTCCTTCATATATCCCTCTAATGACATCCTTTCCTGTCTTGTTCTTCCTCACCAGGGTTTTCATTACATGAGTTACTGTGTATCCCAGACTCATTCTAGTTGCAACTACTCCTGAATGTATACCTTTTTTTTTATTGCTAGTCACATACATGAGGTACTTATGTCATCATTATAAAATGAATTTATATACATTGAAATATATAGTATATTGGCTATGAATACTGAAAAAAATACTTAATAACAGCATAATTTATGGTATTTCTTGTGAGGCACATTGATCTTGCTGTCATGCAGAAATTTATTTTCTTTCCACTGCTACTAATTTACCCCTCATTACATTTAGTGTTAGCCCCTCTCACACAACAAACCTTTCAGCTGCTCTACATGTAAATATATACACAATGTGTGTGTGTGTTAGACAGTTTAATACCATAGTGGGGATAATGACAAAACAAGAATAGTATAACTGGAGGGCTATAAAAAATAAAAAATGCCAAAAATCTACATAGGAATAAAAATAATAATAATAATAATCCAAGGTAGTAGGTTGGTAGACAGCAACCGCCCAGGGAGGTACAAGCGTCCTGCCAAGTGAGTGTAAAACAGAAGCTTGTAATTCTTTTACATGATGGTAGGATTTCTGGTATCTTATTTCTGTCTCATAAACATGCAGGGTTTTAGGTATGTCTTGCTACTTCTGCTTACACTTAGGTCACACTACACATGCATGTACAAGCATATGTATACACACCCCTCTGGGTTTTCATCTATTTTTCTTACTAGCTCTTGTCCTTGTTTATTTCATCGTATCTCCACGGGGAAGTGGAACAGAATTCTTCCTCCCTAAGAATATAAGAATGGAGGAACACTGTAGAAGGCCTATTGGCCCATACAAGGCAGGTCCTTATCAAAATGACCTCTACCCAAAGATACCCAAGAATTTACTCCCATACCCAATGACACAAATCAAACCCAGCCCCTCCCACTCATATATTTGTCCAATCTCTTTTTAAAGCTGCCCAAAGTCCTAGCCTCGATCACCCTACTGGGAAGATTGTTCCACGCATCCACAACTCTGTTAGAAAACCGGTACTTACCTACGTCCTTTCTAAATCTAAATTTATCCAACTTAAATCAATTATTTCTGGCTCTTACCTGGTTCAGCACTCTCAGCACTTTATTAATATCTCCTTTGTTTATGCCCGTCATCCACTTATACACTTCAATGATATCTCTCCTCATTCTATGTCTCCAGAGAGTGGAGATTTAAGGCTTTAAGTCTATCTTCATATGGGAGATTCCTTACACAGTAAATCATTTTAGTCATTCTTCTCTGTATGTTTTCCAATGAGTCTATATCCATCCGGTAGTAAGGATACCAAAACTGAGCAGCATAATCTAAATGAGGCCTCACTAGTGATGTATAGAGCTGTAAAATAACTTTTTGGACTTCCGCTACTAATACTTCTTGAGATAAATCCTAGTAATCTGTTAGCCTTGTTGCGCACACTTAGGCACTGCTGTCTTGGCTTTAGATTTCTGCTTACCATGACTCCCAAGTCTTATTCACATTCTGTATGATCAAGCTCTACTTCACCTAGTTTATAGCTTTGAGGGTTATTTTCATTACCAAGGACTAGTACCTATCCACATTGAACTTCATCTGCCATTTTTCAGACCAAGACATTAATTTGTCCAAATCCTCCTTGAGTTCATTGCTATCCTCCTCAGAATGAATCATATGGCCTATCTTTGTATCATCAGCAAATTTGCTCTTGTCACTCGTAATCCCTTCATCAAGGTCATTAATGTAAATTATGAACAAGAGAGGGCCTAAAACTGATCCTTGTGGAATGCCACTAGTGACTAATCCCCATTCAGATTTGACCCCATTAATGGAAACCCTCTGCTTTCTATTGGTAAGTCATGTCTCTAGCCATGCTAGAGCTTTACCTCCTATACCATGAGCTGCCACTTTTCTTAAGAGTCTCTTGTGAGGTACTCTATTGAAGGTTTTACTAAAATCCAAATAAACAATATCATATTCTTTATCACTGTCTACTGCCTCAAATGTTCTGTTGAAGAACATCAGTAAATTTGTCAAGCAGGAACGACCTCTCATGAACCCATGCTGAGATTCATTAATCAAATTATGCTCTTCAAGGTGACTTCTAATAATGTCAGCTATAATTGATTATGTGGAGTAAAATAAAGATTGGATGTGAAAAGTGGGTTATAGTAAGCGTGTATGCACCTGGAGAAAAAAGAAGTGTAGAGGAGAGAGAGAGATTTTGGGAAATGTTGAGTGAATGCGTGGGGAGTTTTGAATCAAGTGTGAGAGTAATGGTGGTTGGGGATTTTAATGCTAAAGTGGGTAAAAATGTTATGGAGGGAGTAGTAGGTAAATTTGGGGTGCCAGGGGTAAATGTAAATGGGGAGCCTTTAATTGAGCTATATGTAGAAAGAGATTTGGTAATAAGTAATACATATTTTATGAAAAAGAGGATAAATAAATATACAAGGTATGATGTAGCACATAATGAAAGTAGTTTGTTAGATTATGTATTGGTGGATAAAAGGTTGATGGGTAGGCTCCAGGATGTACATGTTTATAGAGGGGCAACTGATATATCGGATCATTATTTAGTTGTAGCTACAGTTAGAGTAAGAGGTAGATGGGAAAAGAGGAAGGTGGCAACAACAAGTAAGAGGGAGGTGAAAGTGTATAAACTAAGGGAGGAGGAAGTTCGGGGGAGATATAAGCGACTGTTGGCAGAAAGGTGGGCTAGTGCAAAGATGAGTAGTGGGGGGGTTGAAGAGGGTTGGAATAGTTTTAAAAATGCAGTATTAGAATGTGGGGCAGAAGTTTGTGGTTATAGGAGGGTGGGGGCAGGAGGAAAGAGGAGTAATTGGTGGAATGAAGAAGTAAAGGGTGTGATAAAAGAGAAAAAGTTAGCTTTTGAGAGGTTTTTACAAAGCAGAAGTGTTATAAGAAGAGTAGAGTATATGGAGAGTAAAAGAAAGGTGAAGAGAGTGGTGAGAGAGTGCAAAAGGAGAGCAGATGATAGAGTGGGAGAGGCACTGTCAAGAAATTTTAATGAAAATAAGAAAAAAATTTGGAGTGAGTTAAACAAGTTAAGAAAGCCTAGGGAAAGTATGGATTTGTCAGTTAAAAACAGAGTAGGGGAGTTAGTAGATGCTGAGAGGGAGGTATTAGGTAGATGGTGAGAATATTTTGAGGAACTTTTAAATGTTGAGGAAGAAAGGGAGACTGTAATTTCATGCTCTGGTCAGGGAGGTATACCATCTTTTAGGAGTGAAGAAGAGCAGAATGTAAGTGTAGGGGAGGTACACGAGGCATTACGTAGAATGAAAGGGGGTAAAGCAGCTGGAACTGATGGGATCATGACAGAAATGTTAAAAGCAGGGGGGGATATAGTGTTGGAGTGGTTGGAACTTTTGTTTAATAAATGTATGAAAGAGGGGAAGGTACCTAGGGATTGGTGGAGAGCATGATGACTGTGAAACAGAAACCTGAAACTGTTTTGCATGATGGTAGGATTGCTGGTTTCTTTTTCTGTCTCATAAACACGCTAGATAACAGGGATATCTTGCTACTCCTACTTACACTTTGGTCACACTTCACAGACACACACATGCATATATATATACATACATTTAGGTTTTTCTCCTTTTTCTAAATAGCTCTTGTTCTTCTTTATTTCTTCTATTGTCCATGGGGAAGTGGAAAAGAATCTTTCCTCCGTAAGCCATGCGTGTCGTATGAGGCGACTAAAATGCCGGGAGCAATGGGCTAGTAACCCCTTCTCCAGTAGACATTTACTAAACAAGAGAAGAAGAAAAACTTTATAAAACTGGGATGCTTGAATGTGCTTGGATGTAGTGCGGATGACAAGAAACAGATGATTGCTGATGTTATGAATGAAAAAAAGTTGGATGTCCTGGCCCTAAGCGAAACAAAGCTGAAGGGGGTAGGGAATTTCGGTGGGGGAAATAAATGGGATTAAATCTGGAGTATCTGAGAGAGTTAGAGCAAAGGAAGGGGTAGCAGTAATGTTGAAGGATCAGTTATGGAAGGAGAAAAGAGAATATGAATGTGTAAATTCAAGAATTATGTGGATTAAAGTAAAGGTTGGTTGCGAAAAGTGGGTCATAATAAGCGTGTATGCACCTGGAGAAGAGAGGAATGTAGAGGAGAGAGAGAGAGATTTTGGGAGATGTTAAGTGAATGTATAGGAGCCTTTGTACCAAGTGAGAGAGTAATTGTGGTAGGGGACCTGAATGCTAAAGTAGGAGAAACTTTAGAGAGGGTGTGGTAGGAAGTTTGGGGTGCCAGGTGTAAATGATAAGGGGAGCCCTTTGATTGAACTTTGTATAGAAAGGGGTTTAGTTATAGGTAATACATATTTTAAGAAAAAGGGGATAAATAAGTATACAAGATATGATGTAGGGCGAAATGACAGTAGTTTGTTGGATTATGTATTGGTAGATAAAAGACTGTTGAGTAGACTTCAGGATGTACATGTTTATAGAGGGGCCACAGATATATCAGATCACTTTCTAGTTGTAGCTACACTGAGAGTAAAAGGTAGATGGGATACAAGGAGAATAGAAGCATCAGGGAAGAGAGAGGTGAAGG